AAAAATTTAAAAAAAAATGTTTAAATTACCATCTACATAAGTCAATGTAAGATGGAGACAAAATATGGAAACTTTATAAAACCCAGTATTCAACTTTTTTTATTTTTTGATTCTTAAAATTATTTGATCAATTCCTTCACATTTAAAACAGAATGCACAGGAATTGATAATCAACCTAAAAGCCTCATTGTGAGCTCTTAATATGCCATCTTATCTAGCTTTTAACATCGCTCTGTTGCTGTGATCGACTATCACAGTACACGAACAACGTTAACTCATGGAAGTTAATATATCGTCGGCAATCTTAACCAGTTAACCTTAGTCTTTGAAAATGAAGGGTTTCTTTCTTTCTTTCTTTCTTTTTGTTTTTCTTTTTTTTTTTTTTTTTGAAAATTGAGAAAATTTGAAAAAGAAAAGCAATGAAAACAAAAAAAGGGAAGATTTAGTCCAAGTTAAAACATAATATATATATATATATTATATTGTAATCTCGATAAAAATAATATATTCTTTTGCCTCCTGTGCCTTTTTTTCTTTTACTCAAGCTAAAAATTCAAGTAAATTTCATAAATATTGCAAAAAATGTATAATTTAAATTATGGTATTTTCACACAATTCTGAAACAGTAACTCCCAAACTTGGATTTTATTTTGGACTATGTACTAATTACCACTGCAAACTGTTCATCGAAGTTAGAATCTGATACAAAAATGATGTCTGCTGGTGTAGTCTATTGCGTATCATGTTTCATTGAAATCGGACCAAACCTGTAATATAATAGAAGGACTAGCAATTTATAATAAAAACGATTTTTTCACTCAATGAAAATATCTATATCGTCCTAGAATGATTTGGCAAATTTTGTAAAAAGTGACACTGACTTTTGTACTATAACTTTTGAAACCATTTTCCTTTTAATGAATTATTGGAGTAATACGTGAAGTGGTGATACATATTATACACCTATTTACTGGCTATGAGGACAATAGCAAGTTTATCGTTCCCCAAGACAGCAACTATTTCCCGAGGCGCAGCCGAGGGAAATAGTTGCTGTCGAGGGGAACGATAAACTTGCTATTGTCCGAATAGTCAGTAAATAAGTGTTTTATTATACCGAAGCAGTCTTTACTTGTGTTACGTCACAACCTGTATAAAACCAGAAGAGTTCCGAGATGAAAAGCGAGGGAAACAGAATGCTGCCGGTGAATAGTTTAGTGACTATTTCACCATGGGCAAATAGCACAAAAACTATTCCACGATAGGGGCTGTTTGGAAAAAATAGCATGTTTATTCGTAATATTTTTTATAGAAAAAATTCACAGAGGTATAATAAATAAAGATATCGTCCACACTACTTTATATGTACATAAAGGAGAAAGATTCTGTGAGAGAAAAAATTGATTGAGGGCCAAAGAGCCGAGGAGAGTCGGCAAATTGACCGATTTTCTGTTGGGTTTTTTTCCTATATAATATTGTGTTTAGAATGAACAGTCCAAGGCAAGTGTACATATATTTAGAAAACAAAATTTCGTGGAACATTTTTTTTAAACTAATGGGCAGTATCGAGTGAGATAGGTATGGAGGTACCAAGTCATTTATATGACGGTCAGGGCAAGACATTAAAGCAGCGTTTTCTCAAACATTCAAATCTCAAAGCATGCTGAATAAATTCCGTACAAGGATGTAATTCTAAACCATTCTGTAACATCCTTTTAATGTTAAACCAGAGGAATGATTCTAGCTTTTGATGCACCATAATTTTGTTCAAAGTTATGTTTGGAAAAGAGGGTCACTTCCACACACTACGTGCCTGTGTCACGGAGGGAAATAGTCGTAATGCCGGCGCCCTTTTCTTTGTTTTTTTCTTCCTTTCATTCTTTTTTTTTTTTTTTGGACAATAAGAAACCTTTGAGCTTTTAACCCTACCTTTGATTCGTGCGGACTGAAATTGTTTTATATATCATTATAAATCTATACTATAGTGAATAATAAATATTATGTGATGTGTTAAAAATTTCAAAGTCATGCACCCTTTGATGAAGTTTCTGTTCAAAGGATATTTTCTTTCTATTTTTAATTAACTAAATCCTTAAAGTCGTATTAATGGGGCATAGTCACTCTATGCCCCTGCATGGTTGATAGAATATGAATATATACAATTATTCGTGTATTTATTTGTAGGTTGTCAAAATCGTTTGGTTTATGAGTATTCAAAAGTTCTCATTATATCAGAGTAGTTCTTTCAAATTTAAAATAAATTATTCTTTTTCATGTGTTTGTCAATGAGCCGTATAATTTCTGATATAAAATGGTCATTAAATATGAATTCATACACATATATAGTGCTCCGTCACACGTTACAGAATGACTAAAGAATCAGGAAGCAGCAGAAACGGAGGGGGGGGGGGATATAGTGACATAGGATTATGGTACACATTTTAATTTTGAATTCATTCAACACTTCCGGTCATTGTGCTGTTCAATATATCATTTGATTTATGGTCATTGGTACGAATTTATCAAACAGTATAATATCAAGGTACATTGTAGTATAAGTATCAAATTGATATGATGCTGCAGTTGGAGACTCGGTTATGTGTATCTATATGAAGATGGCAGTTTAATGATGGAACCGTTTCGTGCATGCGTCAAAGACTGAACAAGTAATCAATAAAAATGTCAACATTAATTAATTTGCCACCGTCATCAATCTGAGGTAGATCACTCTGATATTAATACATCACAGACTGTGGTATATAGAATTATTGAACTGCATTGAAGGCGTAGGAATCTTTCTGGAGGTCAATATAATGGTCTCTTTTTAATTGGAATTCAGGCATTCATTTTATATATACCGATTGATTCTGATTGATTACAGGTTCGATGGTATTTCAAGGTATTACTGTTGCCTTGTTGTGATTTCATTAATTAATCTGGCTGATTTCTATCGCTATTTTTTTTTACGATCCAATACCGGAATATTGATATTCTTGTTTTCAGAATCGCATAATGCAAATCAAATATTGGTCGGAATTAAATTCTGTCTAATTGTTTATCTAGGATCAACAGCACATTTCTGGTAAATCTGCGAAAACCTTTTTTTTTCAGTTGAAGATGTAAAACGTTCTTTAACTGATTTCTCACATTGAATAAAATTAGATGTTAAGAATGCGCATTTGGGTAAATCACACATTATGGCAGGGAGATAACATTTTTAGAACAAATTTTGATACTAATAAAATGCTAGATAATTATCGAACGTCATTAAAAATTGAATGCTTAAGATTTTCATTCCTCTCTACAATCTTAATTAAGCAATGAAAGATTATTTTGCTTATTTTTTATTTATATATATTTTTAAATAAGATGTGAGTAAAAATGGCCAAGAGATAATTATGTTCTTCGTACATAAACCTATCATAAACTCTTCCGTACCTTTGAGTTTCATCAGAATTAATAGCGTGACCAATACAGTTCTTATCCCAGTGGGCATTTGAACCCTTGTGAAGTTATTTATTAAATCACTGGGTTTTTATGTGAGATTGAATACCAAGGCTTACACGGTTTTATGCTGGTGAACATTTCAGTCTTATGACTGGTTTCTAATTATTGACCCGAGTATCAACTCTGAGGTTCAACAACAGTGCTGTAAATAATTCCGGGAAGTGGCGAGTTTCACTATGCAATGACGTCAATAGTCGAAGATTTCATCATTATTACCATTTTCTAAATGTCAATCTGGTGTTGAAACTCACAATGATACTAAGTTTTGTTCTTTTGTACAGCTTGTAGCAGAAAAATTAAAAAAAATAACCATTTTCTGCGTAATTTTTTCTCGGCTCTCGCCACGACAAACAACTTTATCTTGGCATAAACGCCTTCCGATTCCTATAATAAAAAAATCAATGGCTTAATTTGTATTCCGATTGCTTCCATATCGTTTTATTAACAATAACAAAATCAAAACAGTTTTTCAATAACATTTCCATAATATCACTAAAATACAAAGACGAACACAATTGTTTGTTTTCCAGTGTCTTTTACTCAGAATTCAAAATAAACTGATAATTCATAACATACAAGTTAAATATGTCAGGTGGATGTATTTAAAAAGCATTAGTCTTTGAGATCCATTTTTGTCACAAACAAAAAATATTTTAAGTGAAAAAAAAACGATATTTTTAATTACCAGAGTAAAAACGCATTGCATGGACTTTATTTTTGTAAAATACTCATTCCTATATAGAGTAAAAAGTATAGCTGATTTTTTAATGCAAAAATAACTACCTTGTGGTAGTTTAATAAGTTGTAGGTTTTTTCCTAAAATATTTAATTCTCATATCAAAAATCAGGTCGAAATTGCTTCCTCTATTTGTAGTCCAGAAATTTTAAAATTATTACATATATGGAAAAAGCTGGTTAGCATTATTAATGGGAAGGTACATTGTAGCGTAGCAAAAGCAAAGGACCACAATAGCTTCCTCTTTTTCATTTTCCGGTTATATTGTATAGTTGACACTCGCTACAAACAAAATTATTTGAATGGATCTGTATATATCCAATTTTTGACTTATTGTGGTTGCATATGGTGTATATATCAAATCTCTGATATATTGAGATTATCATGTTCATACTTCTCCCTTTTGCTACACCCTTATAAATCCTTACACAATTTTTTTTCCTGCCCTTAAGCCGAGCTCGAGGTCTCTCAGATCTGAGACGTCCTCCTTACTGAAATCAATAGGTGTAGGTGTGGGGGTGACATTTTTTTCTTTTGTTGATGCATGGTCTTTTAAACAAAAATTATGAAACAATCCCATCATCTTCACAACGCTGTTCCATCGCAGTACACTGTATTTCCAACCAAAAAAACAGATCTGTAGCTATTTAACATCCAATAATCAATGGAATTATGCCGAATTGTAGGCGGAGGAAATTGTTAATTATGTCTTGTTTAAACCACTGTTTGAAATGTGATCTTGTTTTTCCTGTCTTTTTCTAGGCCAGTTCCTACGTAAACATAATGTGAGGACCTTTTTTCGTCGGAGACTTTTAGTGGCGTCATGTCCAAGGAGAATACGGGTCTATGTGAAGACAACCCAATCTCCCCAAAATACGCCGAGGAAAAACATGATACAGTCTCCACGCCCAAAGAAAAGAAAGGAAAAGCGTTTTTCAGCGACGATGTACTGGGAGAGAAAAAGAGAAGTTGTCCGTACTACTTCGGAGTGAAGTCCTACCTCCATAACTTCTACGACTCGGCGACATACAAGGATCCGAGCATTTATGAGGAAGATGATGACAACCGTTATCTTCTTAATCCGCATGCGCGACGCCGACGGTGTCGTCCGGTATGGTTGAAAGTTTGCATTTGGATTGGCGTTAATCTTCTGGTGTTAGGGGTACTTGCAATTTTGGCGGGATATTTCATTCCGACTAAACCCATTATCAGTAAAGGAGAAAAAGAGGATAATGTTGGTTATGTGGATGAAGATGCCGTGAAATTTAATACTACCTTGGATTTGCTTAAGCTTGTAGGTCTGGTCTTGTTCTGTGTTGGGGGAATCCTTCTAGCCGTGGCTCTGATGTTCCCTACTTTTATGTCAAATATGTGTTCCGATGAGATCGGCGAGGAAGCAATCAGAATTCAGATGGGAGAAGAAAAACCTCCATTAAGTCCGATCGAGATGACCATTCCTGCTACCTCTAAAGTAAAAAGTGTTCAGCCGCCTGGCAGTTCTAAACAGAAAATCCACTTTAAAGAAGATTCTGTGAATTTTAGGGATTGATAAATAAGTGTGCCCCTTGAATTCCCATTGATTGTCAAAATTATATCAGAAGGGAGCAGTAAGTGATATACAAAGACACATTATATATAAAAGCACAAGTTACTGTCTCAAGAAATACAATGCAACCTTACTCAATGAATTAAACATTGTAGTAAGAAATAAGATAGTTTTGTTTTATTTTCAAAAGTTCAGATTAATAAGTCCCCATCACTCTTAGGATACTTTCATTCAGTCATTGTGTATGATTTCATTTTTCAAAAGGTCTTTCAAAAGAAAAGTATTCTTTATTTATGTGTACATGAAACTTTTCCAAATCAGGGTTTCTGTCATGTGTGTGTATTTTACATTTGTGGCATCTTGCTTCAGTTCTTATTAATAAACTGATTGAGGACCAGAGGCCATGACGTCACCAAATCACAGGGCGCAAATGATATCGACACGTAACTATTATCATGTGACCATTTCAAACTAGAAGTCTCTGAAGAGACTATAGCTCTACCGGTGTGTACTTTAAAATAAAGAAAGATGTATCTTAGTATAGGGCCATTCAAAGTTTTTTCTTTGTTTAGCGTCCACCCTAAATTCGAAAACCTATCTTTCTATCCGGAAAAAACACAAACCAAAAGGGAAAAAACAACATTTTAAGCACAATTCTAGAATTTCTCATCAACATTAATTTTGAGAATTCTCCTCGCAACTTTCAACAACTAGTTAAGTGAAATAAAAAAAATCGGTATACCACATAAAAAAAGAAAGACGCCGATCCCAAAAGCATAAATTGCGTTTCAAAGATTTGTTTTTGTCGACTTTAATTGTGTGTTTTGATTTCATAACCTCTAAACCAATCTGCCCGCGGCCGCTAAACATAGTAAAAATTTGGAATGGCTTGGTCTATTTGTGTAAAGTCTAATCAGACCAGGACTGTAGGAGAAGCGTTTTGAAAGAATTCAAAGAAATTTCTATCTTTAGTAACCATGGCAACACTGTCGAAATAAAAAAAAGATATATAGAATTAGGAATTTTAGTACAGTATAGTATACTTGTGTACTAAGTCTTATTGAATTAAATTTATTGGACCAAAACTGTATAGGAGGAGTAGCATTTTGAAAGAATTCAAAGAAATTTCTATTTTTACTTACCATGAGGCAACAGTGTTTGTCGAAATCAAAAACCGATATACAGGATTGTGCATCTTCGTGTAGTCTACTTGAGTACTAAGTCTTATTTAATTTGGACCAAAACTGTAGGAGGCGTAACATTTTAAAAATTGTTTACAGACTGACGGACGGACACCTTACCAATGCATACGCTCTTCTGGTCTCCGACAAGTACAGCTAAAGAGGACAACAGAGTTAAAAAAAAAAAAAAAAAACATCAGAAAAATCAAGGTTTTTCTGACAAAACTCCATTAATTTTAAACAGAATTTATCCATACAAACATTAGAGAAGTAAATATTCTATTTCGCTGCATGTGTACAACGTAAAACTTCCGATAATGAGTGTACATGTCGTTCTGTTGTTTAAGAAAATAGGCCTATGCTCTAGCATGGTGCAGTTCTTGTCGTGCACAATAGGCTTTTAGGTACTTTTTTTTTTTTTGAAAATCTTAGAACAAGCACCAATATAGTTGCAAGCCATCTAGGGCTTAATAAGCATCAGAAGGCACAAATTAAAAAAAAATTCTCCACGACTCGAAATCTATGTGATGCCCGTATAATTATGTTAGGGAAAGTAGTCACACAATTAGACTGAGTCAACATTTCTTCTCTTTATAGACAATTCCTGAGCAATACCATGAAAATAATCAAATGTAGAATCAATATTTGTTCAAAAAAAAATATACATTTATTGACTGGGTTCGAGGGCAACATGCGTTTTGTCGGACCCAAGAACCAAACTGTTTGCCTGGGGCCGTTAGGCCGAAGGCAAACAGTTTGGTTCGACGGGTCGACAAAACGCATTTTGCCCAAGACCACAGTCAATAAATGTTTTGTTATACCTTTTATTTATATATTTTATCTTTTTTGGGGGGGACATACATGTATGTCGACCACCAACGAATGCAAATGAGATTTAGCTGACCCCGCCTATTATGTGACGTAAGCGGTCCAACATCTCATCGACAGGTCCAATATCTCACTCCGCGGTCAAACATCGATTTTTTTATGCCCGCTCAGTAAAACATTGGAAATGTTAGACTTTTATTAGTATTGATTTACATAGGAACAAATTTTTAAAGGTATAACAATAAATTATATTGACCTATCTTGTTGCTTTTCATCTAACAGTAGTATTCAGACAGTCGACAGGAAACCTTAATATACTTTAATATTTTTAAAAAGTTTGTTTTTTTTATATGGTTTGTGGCAAATTTAACCTTTTCAATAGACTGCGCTTATCTGTTCAGTATTCTCTTTAGAGAAGTGGACAGACTTTCGCCAAAAGCCTGTCCACTTCTCTATAGAGAATAATCTCTTCAGGAGAGGAAAGGTATTGAAGTTTACACTAAAATTAATTGATGCGATAATTCCTTTCTTACTGGTTTCTTCCTTCTTTAAGTTTATATACTCACATCAATACATGTACTTATTTTTCATAAAGAAAAGAAAAAAATATCAACTTTTGAAACACTACCTGTAATTAAAATCTCGTATACAATTACTTATTCTACTTATTTCTAGATCGCAGACAGAAATTACATTTATCTACGTACGTCATGTTTTCTCCAAAGGATGTTAACTTTTCAGTTACACATGATTTTTGAAAATATTAATGTCGGTTCTTGTATTCATAAATATATCAAAATAAAACAATATGACTATGTATTTGATAGATCACAATACATCAGGGATGGATCGAGCTCGTGTGGGCGCAAAGCTGCTATCAAATATTGTATATAATGCCAAACCAGGGCGTTTACCCGAGGGAAATGCTGGCGGTGAACTTTAGCTGAATAATTAATTTTGATTCTTATATTAACCTTACTTAAATAACTTTATGCTGGGCTCTGTGTCAAAGCATCAAAATATCATTCAAGATAAACCAGGGCCTTTAATTAGAAAAAAAAGCCTTTAAGAGTACAACTTTCTCCCAGAAATCTCCAATATTTTTATACAGAAAACGACACAATATTCAGAATATATTTGTGGTTTAACATATTCTGTAATACACTGAAATAGTCATGATAGTAAGAAAGATGAATGGATGGGGTGTGCTTGTGTTATCCTTTTAAAATTACTTTCATATTATTTTTTGAACTTGCCTATTTATAGTACAACTAAACACCAAATTTAACATTTTGAGTGGCATTACATGTATCAATTATCTGGTCCAAAATTTTGATTGATCTATACAATTTTACGAGAATCACAATTTGTATGGCGGAATATTTATTAGTTATGAAACCAGTGGTTTGTTTTGTTTTCAATTAAATGACCTCTAGCAGAAATAAAGATAACTCATTGTTAGTTAATAAATGTATCTTACAAATATATAATTAATTCTGTTTTTGAACACTGACTGAGCTAAGTTTTAACAGCTTCCTGACACCCTGAGTCCGCAAAAGCTTAACACATGCCTCACAGGCGTTCAGGTCTTTGTGTTTGTTTACAGATAATTGATACAACAGCTCTACACACCTGGTAACATTGGCTCATATTACATAACATTAAAGTTATATAAGCTTCAATTTTTTCGTTTATGTAACCTAAAATTTTTATTAAATTATCATATTTTATGTAATTTTTCTTATCAAAATGAAATAAAAAAATGTTTCTGACCCATTTTTTTTTTAAATGATCATACATCTATGAATATACACATGTACATCAAATAAATTATAAATTAGAATTTTCTGGTTGGGCATTGTAAAGAAATCGTATTTTTTAAATAGAATGAGTCAGTTATAAAATTTTAAACATTTTAATTATTATAATTTAACATGATTTTTCACAGTTAATAACAAATATATAATATATCACAAAAAAGCATAAACATACATGTAGTACAAAACATTTGTCAAAAAATAGAGATAGTTATTTCATAATCATGACAAACTAGAAAAAATTGACAAAAAGAGGTAAAGTTCATTTTAAAAAATGCATCTTTGATATATCTAAGGCTTTGAAAAAGGCACGCTTGGATCTAAATAGGCACCTTTATGATTAATTTAATTATATTTGACTGCAATTTATTATTTATTTTATTGTCCCTCAGTTAATGTAAGTAACGCCACATATGCATATGTCTAAATGTTTAGCAATAGATGAAGATATTTAAATGTTTAAAGGAATTTGAATTATTTTCATAAAATAGCTTACAATTTGAGAAAAATATTTCAGACTCTATTTAAAATACAATACATAAAATCATAAACTAAAACAAAAACAGCTTTAAAGAACCAATGTTGAATCTTCTCATAAAAGAAAATAGAATTTCATTTTGGAGGACAAAAAAAATCAATAAAAGCTCTTGCCATGGCTTCTGAAAGATCCTATTGTAACATATAATGGCAGCTCAGGAAATTTATGCTGAAGACATGAAATAGATCTCTGCATTTAGAGTGACTGTTTACACAAAACTGATGGATTTCTTTAGAGTTTGATGAGATGAACTGTAAATTCAGTAATCCTCCCGGAATGACATCCAATACAGCATTTGACAACACACAATTTACCAGACAGCTGGGGAATTATTCAATAACCTCCACTGTCATGTCTCATTCCTAAACTTTTGCAAGACCTTATTGTCATCTTTAAGTTTTCACTGAATTACTGTTTCATAAATAATTTTTAATACTGTTTGTTTTCAGTATTCACTCACAATTAAGAAGACTAAATTTCTTTTCCAGGACTATATCCACTTCCCTGCAGCATTGTATATAAATGACTGTTTCCCCGTCTCCACAGGACGATAATGAGCTACAAAGGAAAAAGAACAATTTTACTCTGGACAGTATTTTACTTGTACACCAGTACACAATGTACATGCAGTAAATCATTTTACATGAACAATTTATGAAAGTTACATGAATTGAATAAAAAATTCAGTGACATGTTTCAAGTAAGATGTAATTATGTAATTATTGCTTGGGTATACAGTTCTGGGACATCCAAGTTATTTTATGGGGTGGGGGGTGGGGGGGGGGGCTATACACATTACACAGTCTGAAATATTCTGATATGGCAAAAAAAAAACCAAACAAACAAACATCCAAAAAAAACATATATAAGAAATAAATTGCTGGTTTGACTGGTTATACCAGTTAAATTGAATTAAAATGCATTAATTAACTTTTTAATCTTTATTTAAAAATTATACATATACTTGGTAAACATTCTTTAGCAACAACAACAACAACAAAAGGTGAAAAAAAGTTAAAGACATTGCCAGCTTGACACATTGTAAAAAATTCCACACAATTTGCTTTTTGACCCCCCCTTCCCCCCCCCCCCCCTCCCCCCCCCAAACACACACAGACATCTTTTCAACAAATGCAGCAATGACTTATTCATACTACAAAGACACAAGAAAGATTATTAAATTTTCTGATCTGAGTTTTGGGAAATCAATATATAGCAGCTCTAGAACCAAGAAATCTGACAGCTATCCCAGCTTAAACCATCAAGAATAATGATTTTCATCTCCCAATGAATCCATTTTGAGGATTCAGTTCATAAAAACCTGCCCAGTCCTGTAGAGGTTTAAAATACAATGTATCAATCAGAATGTAACGTATATGGTTTCTACTGGAATAAGAATGAAAATTGTAAAAATATTTAAACTCAGAGTCTTTCATTTATCCTTTTTTTCCCCAAAATGTAACTGGCAAGGGGAAAATGTGACAGAACAGGCCAGGATTTGAACCTAGATTATGCGGGGAAAATTACAATAAACTAGCTGACCATGTAAGAGTCCACAAACAACAAATACGGGACCCCTCTGTCAGGAATACACCTTGCAGTGAACATTTTGATTCATGTTTGAATGGAAACTTTTTAATATTTCCATTTTATAATGTTTTGGAAAATAATGAACAATTACAGAGGGCCAAGGAAGATTACACTTTGTAAAATTATTTAAACCTAAACTAAATAACCATGTCATAACAATGAAGATGTATTGTTTTTATAAACTTTGTAATACTTTGAAGAGCCGCACAGCAAAAGTGCTTAGTGTATTAAATGTGAACTTGTTTGTTTACCTTGGATTTAATTTTAATCTAAAAGTTACCTATACCATTGAATTTTTACTACAGTTTCACTATATATATATTTTTTCCCCCACAAAAAATATTGCTATATATTCCTAAATTAATGTTCAAGGTGTATATATTTACCACTGAACACTCTGTGCCGAAATTACTGTTCAAAGTGTATAAATCTATCACTGAACACTTTGTGACAGAACATGATGTGCAGAAACTGCTCAACAGCGGCTCTTAAAAGCTTCACATGAAGACTCCATGCATACAATATTAAATCAATGGTTTATTAGGGAAGCCTTGAGGAAATAAAAGAGTTTTACAACAAATAAAGACCAATAAATGACTCTGTCATGTTCCATTTATCACAAAGAATTGCTGCTTAATGAGATTCTGTGATGATTTTGCTGAATTGGTAAATCACTCCTACACATGCTGAAGGCAGTAATCTCCTAATGTAGATCTATTGAGTCTCATTTACAGAATTTACAGCTTCTGGCATCATCATTAACTGTCCTATATTAATTAACTTTTAATATGGATCTTCTTTAAATATAAGGTACCTTCTCTGACAGTCTGCCAATTCATCAATTTTTAAAATAAAGAACTCATTTTGAAAATTAATGTTGTCAGATTTTGATCACCCAATCTCATCAACTATTTTATACTTAAGACAACTAAGTGATTCTTTTTTTTTTTTTTAATTACAAAACCATGTATGCAATTTTGATCAAATACAAATGGACTGCACAGTCAGTAGAGTACATCACTCAAACTACAAGTATGCAACATGAACATGAGAAAATTCTTTAGAACCTCTTCTATCTCCCATTAAAATATTGTGAGATTAAATGCCTGACACTGACACACCAGGGACATTCTGAGCACACAATAATCATGCAATTTGTTACAAGCTTCAAACAACATTGACTGAACTGTACTAATGCTTTAAACAAAATATTTCTGGAGATTTGGAAGATTTGTCCTGATTGCTCTCTAGATTTGTTACACTATCAAGCCTGCTGATGTTTCTTTTTTCTCACATATTAAAAAAGAACTCTTTCATGACAAAACCTACCTGGACCAGGTAAATCTCCAGCTGTTTGATTTCCTGTCCATCGACTGGTTGTGGAAACGAAAGCAGAACTAGACATGTAATGTTTGGGTGGACCCTCATAATCAACCACATCATAATTAGCTGGCCCAGGCTGTGGTGGAGTATCTGGTAAAGGCATGGCAGGAGCTGATATACATAAATAATGCTTCCTCCTGTAAAAAAAATTTAAATCAAATAGAAAAAAAGGGATCAAGTAATTGATCGAGTATTCAAGAAATAATGAAACTCATCAAAATTTAAGTACAATCTCTTAATATTAATGTTCATCAACTTCTTTAGCAATATAACCAGATATAGGAAAAAACCTGTCATTGTAAAGTCAGTGGACTTTCAATAGACTTATTGTACACTAAATGTTACTTACGGAAAAAGCTGTTTTTTGGCTGGGTCCACAGCTTCATTCGGTTTATATGCACCAGGGCCAGGAACCTTAAAACATGAGTTATACATTGAAAGTTTCAGATAAAAGAATATGACACATTTTACATCATTAACTGTATGAAATTTACACACTGAAAGTGTTTCTTTGAATAACTGGATAACCAGTTTGAATAACTAGATAACCAGTCTGAATAACTAGATAACCAGCTGATATGAAAATTCCATGTAAACTGAACACTTACAGGAGGAGGATCTGGTTGCATTTGTCGTTTTGATCTCGATTTAAAACTTGAAAATGGTATTTTGACATTCTCATGCAGAAGGTGGTCCTTTACTGAATATTGCCCTGAATGAAAAAAAAAAATATTAAAGAATATGCTTCTTACACCACAGTTAGATGCCAATATTCTCCAAAAGAGCAAATGGTATATATTTACAATTCACTTTTACAAGTAAAGGTGAGATTAAATATTGTAATAACATTTGTAGGGGGTCTACTATTTTTTCTTGGCAGGAATTGCTGTACCTGGAGCAGGGTTATTGGCGATATCTTTTATTGTGATAAGCTCTCGTTTGCTCTTTGATTTAAAAGCAGCATCAGCTGTTACATTGTTGGTCTTTCCAGTTTGTGCCTTTAAGACCTAAAAAAAGCAGTTTTCCAGAAACTTGTATGAGAGCAGAGGTAAAAGGGAATGTGAATATCTAAGTCAGTTAATCACTCTACTAAATCAATAACATAAATTTATAATACTTTAAAAATATAACTTTTTTATAATTTTTATTACCTCATATTGATTCGGTGCAGGACGTTTTTCTTTTTTCTGTGGTTCTGTTGAGTGTGCAATTGGTTTCTGAAACAACCTTCCTACTTCTGATCGATTAAAATCATTCTGAGTCCTAAGCATGCTTGGAATGCCATAGACACCTGGTCCAGGGGCGCAAGTACCAAGATATTTTAATCCTTTTTTAGACTTTAAATGAAGACAAATATGTCATGAAGTACATGTATATCTTTCTGAAAGATTCTTATACTGATTTTTTCTCCTCAAAATTATAGGTGATTTTTTTCTATCATTAAATTTTAAAATCAAAATTACATAAAAATTTTAAAATCAAAATTGCAATAATAATTTTATTTTAACAAACATATTTAACTTTTTGCTTATAGACATTTTCTACTTCTTTTTCAATTATCATTGACTACCTTTGAGGCGAATCCTCCTGTCCCTCTCTTGGAAAAAGAGACACTGTTATTTTCTATTGAAGTGTGTTTAACGTAGTTGCCAGGCCCAGGTGCATCTGTCTGTACAGGCCAGTACAATGATTTTTTAGGAAATAAATGTATGAGGTAAGTATATGTACTTCAACAATGTACACAAAGTGGATACATAAGAAATAGAAGAGAAAAACTGAGCCAGTTGGATGAAATTTGAATATTCAAACAAAATCTCTAGACAAAGGTGTACAGCTTATACAATCTGTTGTTAATTTACTTCTTTTTCTGGTACAGAATGTTTAATTAAACAGGCATGCATGCATCATAATGCTGGTATGTGCATGCATTAAGAATTTTACTCCCCATCTGCATACTGTGAGAAAATACAGGCAAATTTAAATTTATATGATAAAAAGGCATGATAAAATGAAAATTATAACTCAGTATGCAGCCTCTCATATATTCAAACTAATTTGTAGCTTCTTATATTCAATCTTATTGGGAGTCAAAAATGACTATGTATGAAGTTCTATAAAAAGGGTAAATACTGTAAGTCTCTATTTCACACACCATGGCATAGTCTGATCGGAAACGCTTTGCTTGGGCACTGAATCCTTTCTTGTCACTATTATCAGTCACAATTGTTTGGTATTTACTAGGTATTGATGCTGTTGCTGCCACAATGCCATGTCCTACAACAAATATTGCCATTGCAATATTACAATGGATACTTCAAACTTCCTGACAACGTTCAAAAGCAATTATGGACAATGTCATATTTTTTCTACACTATAAAGTGTTACTTCGGAATATGAATAACTCTTTCCGAATATAAACAGAAAAACATACTGCAGTAACTAGCAGAAATGAAAATTTGAATCTAGGTTTATAATCTGAAGGGTTTTTTTTTTATTTTCACAAGAATTCATGTGTTTTAAAAATATTTCTGTTAACTTTTTTTACCCTTGTGTAAATGCCCTGATGTTGTTCTACTATGAATTCTCTTAACATAGTCATCATCCACGACCCGAATGCTATCAGTGGCCGCCATATCTAAACAATGACAAACAACGGCTTTCCGGATGTACGTACGACATAAAATAGTAAATAATTCAAAGAAGGTTAAATGTTTTGTTTCATTGCTTATATAGTCAAATTAAGTTTCATACAATTATTAGTATAATTTCATACATATTCAAGGAAAATATAGACCTAAGAATGCTTTAACAGAATGTCTTAGGCATGAATATTTCACCGAAAATAGTGCATAGTTGCTAATGAGAATATGGATTCATCCGTTATGAAGGGGTGCACGGCATACTGTACAGGGTTTTCCAGGTCAACAGTTGGTAAAAGTCAAATGTTGTAAAAAGTTTTCATAATCTACAGTTATTTAGTAAACAGGTTTTACTAATAAAAAATGAATAGAAAAATGACCTCTTGAATGAATGCTTATACAACATCATTTGGAACATTCCATTTTGTCCAAAGAAAAGTATGCTGATTGGTCAACTACATATTGGCGCGGTACTTATAAAACGACTATCACGATCTTTGAGGCGCTGGAATCTCATTGTCATAGCGAAGAATAACTATACCTGACTTCACAATTTTTTCAAGTACTTTACAAAGATGTTGTCCAGTCGTTCACCAAGAGCAACCCAAGAAATAACTGCACAGCTGAGAAAAACAAAAATTAACGACGAAAATGAGGTAAGAAATGTTGGCGCTAAAACAGCTATGCTCAAGTTAAGTTCTTTTTTCGTAGTGTTGCATTCTGCAGTTTTGCACACGGAAGATATTGTAAATAGTCCTTTTTTTTCTCCAAAGAACTCTGAATTCGAACAGGTACAATGTAATTTTTCTTTGCGTTGCATGATTTGTATTGCTGATTACGTAAACAACACTTTATAACAAAGGGTAAAAAATCTTCAGCAAAGTCGGAAGTCTTAAATCCAAAATGTGCTCAATTGTTTTAAAACGGTATTTTTATGAAATATTTATAGATTTAAATTATTTAACTCTGAAAACCCTATTTATTTAATATTGATTCACATCCAGTTTAAATCTTATTTGGAGGGAACTTGCGCAACATTTGAATCGAAGCGCCAAATTTATTATTTTTTTCTTTTATAATTTAAATCAAATCATTAGGACGAAAACCTCATTTGTCAACAAGGCATTTCATTGTATTTGAAGAACTGTGAACATTTGTCAAATGTTTTCATCATGTTCATTGACAAATATTACCTCCAAATAGCGGATGTAAATGGTTTACTACACAGGGAGCGGTTTTCAATCAATGATTTTGTAACTTAAAGGGACTTGAGATGTCAAGCTTCTTAAATTTTATTTTTTTTTTAATTTATGGTTAAAGATTCCGGAAAACCTTAAAAACACAGCTCTGAGCAACAGAAAAGTACTAGGAGACAGTAATAAACAAGTAAGTTCATATATACATATACATGAGAAATGTAGGGACAGTCATAAACATTTATTTCTGTAAATTGTATAACCAGGTCCAGCACAGTCTCTTGATTTAGCTACTATATAGCTTGATAAAGCTGTTTCAATACAGGTTTTCACAAATATTTTTTTCTTGGTTAGCAATAGACAAAAATGAACTAGTAAGTGACAAGTCTTATTTGTACTATTTGGAGTATTTAGAAAATTTTGAACGCTGTAAGCAAAAGATGTATTTCCATTGTTCAGGTAACTGTATACCACAGTGCAGTGAGGCATGACTAAGTATGATTACTTCACATGATTAGTAATTATCTTGTTGACAATAACTGACCACCTTCAAAAATTCATTCAAGAAATAACTGCAACTTTTAAAATTTTGAATGCATATTAGTCTATCAAGGAGATGCAATATAATGAGCATTTTTCATGCATCATGTTGAGTTCAAAATTGTAAACATTCACTGCACCCAGGTACTTTTTCTTTAAATGTTAAGGAAATTGCACATTAAAGAAAAATGTATAATAAAATAGCTAATTCAAGCTATATGGCTAAATCAAGATATTGTGCCAGACCTCTTTGCTATTAATTGATTCAACATGCATGTAGAATTTCAAACTAACATTCTTGTATTTTAAATGATTTCAACCATGTTATGTGCAAACAAAATCAACAAGGTGGATTAATATAAGTTTCTAACTTTTTCTGAATCCTTTGTGATCTTCAAATGCTGTAAATGCCTGTACAAGTTATTTTCAAATAAATATGGTTTAAAGTGAAGTAATAAATGAGCAATTTCATACAAGATAAATAGCATTTGAAGACTATGAAAATTCAAAAATAATTGATTTTGATTATAAAATGTATTTAAATGGAATTTCATGTTTTGCAGAACATCATAGAAGTCAAAACAGTTGAGGTAAGGGGTATTTCTTATCATACAGTAATTTATTTGTATGTAGCTCTTTTTGTTTGCTTTGTCATGACCAACACTTTTGAGTGTTTGTATAATAAAAAAAAAAAATCTTCATAGCCAATCAAGAAAATAACAAGAAAACCAAGAAAGGTGGAACCACTGCTTGAAGACAACCCCCGACGATTTGTGGTCTTTCCTATACAGTACCATGACATCTGGCAAATGTACAAGAAAGCTGAAGCCTCCTTCTGGACAGCAGAGGAAGTTGACCTCTCCAAAGATTTAGTCCACTGGGAAGCTCTGAAGGACGATGAACGCCACTTTATCTCACATGTTTTGGCTTTTTTTGCTGCAAGTGATGGAATCGTCAATGAAAATCTGGTGTGTAAAATAGATCAATTTTCTAGCATTAATTTAAGATGGTTTGTCTCAAAAATTCTGCATTGAAAATGTAAGATAGGTTTTGTAAAGTAAGTGGTTATGTTTCAGGTGGAGAGATTTAGCAAAGAAGTGCAAGCCACTGAGGCTAGGTGCTTTTATGGGTTCCAGATTGCAATGGAGAACATCCATTCTGAAATGTACAGTCTTCTCATAGACACCTACATCAAAGATCCAACAGAAAGGTATTTCACTGATTTATGTAGCAAAAAAGAAAATCACTAAAAAAATTTGTTGCAGGTAAAACATGAAAATTTTAATAGTGTACTATTAAGTCTTAATAAATTTAAAAAAAAAAAAAAAAAAAAAAAAAAAAAAAAAAAGAAATAAAGCATTACATTATAGCAATTGATTGTGCAATACAGTAGTAATGCTTAATGTTGCTGATAAGATTTGAAATTTTACTATTAAAACTTTATTTTGTTCCAGGGAATATCTTTTTAATGCCATAGAGACAATGCCCTGTGTCAAGAAGAAGGCAGACTGGGCCCTGAAGTGGATCGGAGATCAGGAAGCTGACTATGGGGAGAGAGTTGTTGCCTTTGCTGCGGTAGAAGGAATTTTCTTCAGTGGAAGTTTCGCTGCCATCTTCTGGTTGAAAAAGCGAGGAATCATGCCAGGGCTGACATTCAGTAATGAACTCATTAGTAGGGATGAGGTATGCTACTTTTTTTATGTGTGTAAAAATTTAAAATTTTTCACTTGATTCTTGTAGAAATACACATATTGTAATTCAAAATGTTTTTTAAAAAAAAAAAAAAAAAAATTACTTTTTAAAAAACGCAAGATGGGGAAAAAATTGTTAAAAACTTCAATAAATGTTGCAATTTTCCACATGATGCTGCTTTCTGAATAAAATTATTGTATGAATTCATGCATAACTTGTTTTCAGGGATTACATTGTGACTTTGCCTGTCTGATGTTCAGCCATCTTATAAACCGTCCTTCACAACAAAAAATCTATGACATTATCTGTGATGCTGTAAAAATTGAACAAGAATTCCTCACTGAAGCCCTGCCATGTAACCTCATTGGAATGAACTGCAAACTCATGAAACAGTACATTGAATTTGTTGCTGATCGACTTCTTCTTGAGCTGAAATGTGAAAAGGTACTCTTTCAATATTAGGCTTTTTTATTTTTTCTTGTGTATTCAAGGCACAGATTTTAAGCACCGCCTTCAAAAATACCTGGTCTGTGTACCCCTGTCAATTAAGTGCATTAAGGTACTTCATTGACATTTACTTGCTAGTCCCTGTGTATACACTGTACACCTTATTTGGCACTCATGGTGACCTTCAAATTAACTTTTGATCCTTTGATATTTACCACACATGGTATAAACAATAGAGAAGCTGTATTACCATGGTTACTATGGAATTTTTATTTTATCTTGATGATATACTTGTATATATACACACACCTTTAGTATTTGAAATAATTATGATATTCTTTATGATAATCTATATCAACATTTGGTATAATTTTTTGTCAAAATTCAACAAATACTTTGAAAAATAATTTTTTTAATGGGTGTGCTTTTACACACATTCAATTATAAATTAATAAAAATTATTGAGATCAAACTTTATTTACAACTTTTTATTTCTAATTCAAAATCATCTCAAAATCCCAACACAGGTAAAGTTTGACTTTTTGGGCACTCTACTGTGTATTTAATCACTTCCTGTGTATAGGGATTAGGAGACAAACGACCACAGGTAGACTGCTAGCCCTCAAGGCATTCACATCTGTACAAAATAAGCCCCTCCCTTACCTGAAAATTACCACCCGGTAAAAAAATCTCTGCCTTTCAAGTTCTGTTATGAAGATTCCCAAAGATGTTATTATTCAAACAATTATTTATTTTCCTAATGAAAGATAATTAACTTATTATTATTTTTATGTCCCCTTTCGAAGAAAGGATGGCATATCACTTTGCTGCTGTTGGTCTGTTGGTCCACCAACAGTTTCCGTTCATTTTCTTCGCAGAGGTTCTGAAATGAAATTTGGTATACAGATTTATCATAAAAATATCTAGGACAAGTTTTGTTTTGGGTACGATCGAGCAATTTTTGACAGAGTTTTGGACTTTGAAAAATTCCAGGGGGGGGGGGGGGCATAAGTGTTTCACAAACATCTCTTTTATTTATTTGCTATAACAGTTGAAAGATAAAATATGTAATTTCTTTCCTTTTCTTTTTCAGGTATACAATGTTGAAAATCCCTTTGATTTCATGGAACAAATTTCTTTGGAGGGAAAGACAAACTTTTTCGAGAAGCGAGTCGGTGAATACCAGAAAATGGGTGTCATGGGAGGAAATGACTCATCAAGCCACACATTTACTCTTGATGCAGACTTCTAAAATGCTCAACTGAATTGCGTACTTGATATAGACTGAAAATCCAATTCAAAATCCAATTCATTTTATGATTCATTATAGGAACAACTCTTATCATGTATTTTTTAAGTACCATGCAAATTTTTTACTGATATTTAGTAATATTGTTCAAATTTGTGTTCAATGTTTTTTATTGAATCTTTAGGCAAATAGTTTTAGTTTTAATTTCTGTGCAATGAGTAATTTTTTACGAACTCATACCTCATGTAAATTTTTATGTTCTGAAAACTTCATTTATCATGTATTGTATTTTATTTGTGTGCCATTTTTAATTTTTAAAAAAAATGATGAAGTACTGTACAGTGTATTTATAAGTGTGCAAGTGAACCTTAGTGAATGTTTGTTAGTGTTTTATGAATGACTCCAAATAAATGTATTATAAAGGTCAATTCTTTTTTCTTTTTTCTTTTTAGGTCACCTGAGTCACTCAGGTGACCTATTGCTATCCGTTTTCGTCCGTCGGCGTGCGTCGTGCGTTAACATTTGAACATTTTCAGCTTCTTCTCTGAAACTGCTCAACCAATTTCAACCAAATTTGGCATATAACATCTATGGGTGAAGGGGGACAAAATTTGTGAATTTCATGGTCCCTGCCCCCCTGGGGCCTGAGGGGTGGGGCAAAAACCACTAAAATTAATGCAATCTTTAAAAATCTTCTTCTTTACTCCTGGACATCAAGCAGTCAAACTGTTAGCATGATTGTAATAAGCATTGAGCCCTCTACCAAAATTGTGAAATTCATGGCCCCAGGGTAAGGGGTTCTGGTGCTAGGGCGGGGCTATATAGATCATATAGTAAAAGTGCATTATTTCTTCAAAAATCTTCTTCTCTGCTCCTGGGTATAAAATAAACTAACTAAGTACACAGTTATGATAAGCAAGAATGCCCCTTCCAAAATTGTGAATTTCATGGCCCCTGGGTCAGGGGTTCTGGTGAAGGGGGGGGGGGCTCTATTGATTATATAGTGAAAATGCATTATTTCTTTGAAAATCTTCTTCTCTGCTTATGGGTATGAAATAAACTAACTAAGTACATAGTTATGATGAGCAAGAGTGCCTCTTCAGAAATTTTGAATTTCATTGCCCCTGTGTCAGGGGTTTTGGTGAAGGGGGGGGGGGGGTTATTGATTATATAGTGAAAATGCATTATTTCTTTAAATATCTTCTTCTCTGCTTATGGGTATTAAAGAAATTAACTAAAAACATAGTTATGATGAGCAAGAGTGCCTCTTCAGAAATTGTGAATTTCATGGCCCCTGAATCAGGGGTTCTGCTGTTAGGGTGGGGCTCTATTGATTATATAGTGAAAATGCATCAATTCTTTGAAAATCTTCTCTGCTCCTGGGTATTATTTAAACAAAGGAATTGCATGGTTATGATAAGCAAAAATGCCTCTTCCAAAATTGTGAAATTCATGGCCCCAGGGTCAGGGGTTCTTGTGAAAGGGGGGGGGGGTGGCTCTACTGATTATATAGTGAAAATTCATAATTTCTTTCAAAATATTTTTTCTACTCCTGGTTATAAAGCAAAGAAACAAGTGTATAGTTATGATGAACAAGGATGCTTTTACAAAATTTTTAGGTCACCTGAGTCACTCAGGTGACCTATTGCTATCTCTTTTCGTCCGTCGTTGTTCGTCGGTCGTAAACTTTTGAACATTTTCAGCTTCTTCTCTGGAACCAGTGAACCAATTTCAACCAATTTTGGCATATAGCATCTATGGGTGAAGAAGAACAAAAATTGTGAAATTCGTGGCCCCTGGCCCCCTGGGGCCTGAGGGGTGGGGCCAAAACCATCAAAATTAATGCAATCTTTAAAAATCTTCTTCTTTACTCCTGGACATCAAGCAGTCAAACTGTTGGCATGATTGTAATAAGCATTGAGCCCTCTACCAAAATTATGAAATTCATGGCCCCAGGGTCAGGGGTTCTGGTGCTAGGGCGGGGCTATATAGATCATATAGTGAAAGTGCATTATTTCTTTGAAAATCTTCTTCTCTACTCCTGGGTATTATTGAAACAAATTGAATACATAGTTATGATGAGCAAGAGTGACTCTACCAAAATTGTGAAATTCATGGCCCCTGGGTCAGGTGTTCTGGTGTTAGGGCGGGGCTATATAGAACATATAGTGAAAGTGCATTATTTCTTTGAAAATCTTCTTCTCTACTCCTGGGTATTATTGAAACAAATTGAGTACATAGTTATGATAAGCAAGAGTGACTCTACCAAAATTGTGAAATTCATGGCCCCAGGGTCAGGGGTTCTGGTGTTAGGGCGGGGCTATATAGATCATATAGTGAAAGTGCATTATTTCTTTGAAAATCTTCTTCTCTACTCCTGGGTATTATTGAAACAAATTGAATACATAGTTATGATGAGCAAGAGTGACTCTACCAAAATTGTGAAATTCATGGCCCCTGGGTCAGGGGTTCTGGTGCTAGGACGGGGCTCTTTTGATTATATAATGAAAATGCATTATTTCTTTGAAAATCTTCTTCTCTACTCCTGGGTATTATTGAAACAAATTGAATACATAGTTATGATGAGCAAGAGTGACTCTACCAAAATTGTGAAAACAATTTTTTTACCGTATATTTTTTTAAAATTGATTTTTATTACTTAAAAAAAGAGGGAGATAACTCTTCAACAAAGGTCAAGTCATAAATTAGGACACTTCCATTCTTTACTGTTAATAGTAATAAATGTAGATTATGTCTAAATATTCTGAGTTTTCCACCCGTACACATCTGTTATGTATTCAAATTCATTGAATCTGAGGCTATTAGGGATGGAATACCAGTACCTTAAATGTTCATCAAAGACCAAGAGTCTTACTCAGGCCAATGTAAGAGATTTCCACAAGGAATTAAAAGAGTACAGAAGCACTGATAGTTTCTTAATATACTGTCTGGTGAGAGTGATAAATGGGGAACAGATTAGAACCCAATTTATGAACTTTTAATGAATACTAGACTAATTATTTTGTTAATCCTGATCACCCTATTTTTCTTGCTTTTGGGCAACAAAGCTTCACCTTTCAGTTCATTTTATACTCTATGGATCCTCTAAATTGTTGTATTATACTCAGGTGACCGTTAAGGCCCTTGGGCCTCTTGTTTTTTTTTGTCATTTATTTCATTTATGACAGCTTTGTGTATTAGCTATATGCTTTTAAATCCAAGTTGCAAAGTGGATGATTCTTGTAGATAACGGGGAAAAAATTTTGGTCTCTTGATACTGCAACCCACATTTTATGCAATAATGTAGGTTACTCCAGTTCTCTAATATTTTCACTTGCAGGCACGTTTTTAAGGAAAATCATACAAGATCATTACCGAACCTTTGCTATTCAGGGTGTAATGAGTCTGATAGGACCAAGATAAGAAAATATAAACTTGTAAAGGACGTATCTCAAAGAGTGAGGCCCTCATATAAGCTTATTTGAGGTACACATACCTATAGATAAATCAAGTGTGAGCTAAAATAAAAATGCTTGAAATATGGCCATTTTGGATAAAGCCTGTAAATTGAAATACCTAGAAAATTAATAATGCATATCTAGCAAGAAAATGGTCATTTTTAAAAGATATATAAAAAAGGATACAAGTGATACTTCACAATTTTTCACCTATAAAGGAGATGGGTGAACATGACGAGCGATACACCTATAGTGTGACAAACATCAAGATGAAAAATTAAATTTCAATTATATCAAAATTTTCCTTGATATTTCGTCTAACATTAAAATATACTTTATGTAAAATCTCTACAATTTGCAAAAATCCCTCAAAGATTGAAATTGCCTGTGAAATATTAGACACACACTAAAGCGGGCAAAAAGAGTCATTTTCTCAAACTATAACACTATTTTTCGATATGAGTGGGTCTTCGCTCCACCTTTTTGAAAGTTAATCCTCAAAGTTTGCGTAAAAATATACTTTTTTTGGTTACCAAAAATATGGAGCAATGACCCACTGTACCTTAAAAACATACTTTTATGACATAACATTCGCATCTTTTCGAGAAATACTTGAAGTCCATTAAGTCAAGGGTCATATCACAAACATGATTTAAATGCCACTGTTCGTCAGGACTTGTTGTAGTGTAGTGGTTAGCGTGCTAGTCTCGAAAGAAAATGATACTCAGGATTTTTATTGCTAGGGTTCGAACCCCACGAATACCACATTAATTTTTTTAATAAAAGAATAAATTTTGCCGAGAAAATTTTCTTCAGAAAAGTTTTGTTTATCGCAATTTCATAAACTTCAATAATCATATGAGAACTTTACTCTAAATATTAAATTCACAAACTGAACATGATTTTTATATTTCTGAAGCTATAGGCTTTCTGCACGCTATGTTCGCCCATCTCCTTATTAAATAGCTTTCAGCTTAAAAAGCTTACCTGGACTGAAAGCTCAATGAGCTTTTCTGATTATGAGTCTGTCCTGTCTTTAAACTTTTCACATTTTTGACTTCCCAACCACTGGGCCAATTTTCACCAAAGTTGGCACAAAGCATGTGCTGTTCAAATGAAGGACCAGGCCCTATTCCAAGGGAGATAACCAAAAATGGATTGGATCAATAAGAAAATCTTTCTAATAAACCTCTGGGTCAGAAGAAATGAAACATATGGAAGCTTTCTGAGGTTGTAAAAATTCTAAATTGCTCAAATCAATATTCCTGGGGGTAGGGTGTGGTCACAATATGAGATTGAAAGTTCTACACTGAAATATGTAGGATTTTTTTTTTAAGAATAACTGCGGCACAATAGTTGAAATATGTAAAGCTTGCAGAGATGGTGAGATGTAAATTATTCAAATCATGGTCCTCAAGAGTAGGGTGGTGCCACAATTAAGGGGATCAAAGTTTTACATAAAATATATAGGGAAAAAATCTTAAGAACCAATGGACTTAATAGGGTGATATTTTCCCACTTTTCAATAGTGTAGCGGGAAAATGTATTTAATGACGAGATGTTTATACACATGTAGTGTGGATTGGTCGGAAAGTGACCAATAGAAATTGTTTTGATATTAGTAGAGAACTGGTTTTAAATGTTGGTCACTTCTAGCCGCGGACTTCAGCGAGCAACATCAAAGTTTTCATAATTTGTAGACATAAGTAAATTTTTTTTATTAGGTTTACATGTAGGTTGTGAGGTCCCTCGCAGCTATTTTTGCATCCAGCGGTACTTGGCAATGGATACAGGTTTCTATCATAACTTTTCAAAAGTTTTCATGTTAAAGAATTATAATATATGCAGTAATTTTTGCAGATTTGATGGTTTTATTTCTTCATATACAATGTATTGTATTTATATATTGATTTATTGTTTTGTGGAGACTGTCAATAAAATACGGTGTCCAGCGCACACTCGGCTGGCTG